AGTTCTCCAACACCGACGCCGACTTCAACTACCAGCACTAGCAGCACGCCCACACCGACACCGACGCCTACTTCTGGGGGCGGAGGATCCAGCACGCCGGTCGGCGCCATTGTCGGCGGGACTGTTGGTGGGTTGGCGGTCGTAGGCATCATCGCAGTCGCAGCTATCTTCCTGTTTCTCCGCCGGAGGAAGAACAAGCCTCAGACGCCCGACCCAAATTATGCCGCCACGGGCCAGCCTCCGCAACCCCCTATGTCATCCTATCCAGGCAGCCCGCAGCCTAACATGTACAACCCCCATTATAGCATGGCCAGTTATCCGCCCGGGACTCAGACATCGCCTTCGCCGAGCAATAACGCTGCGTGGTCTGTGCCAACTACCACGCCTCCCAACGACTATGGAAACTATGCTGGTTATTATGGGGGAGCACCAGTGCAGAAGGATGATCAGGTGCCTCAAATGCAACCTGCCGTGAATGAAGCCCCGGCAGTGAACCCTCCGGGAGTTGGAAATAATCGAGCAGAGCTGGCTTGAAGACAATTCAAAGGCATTACTGGAGTTTTACGGCGTGCGAATTATTGTTCTCATTTGCATTGGTGGGAAGACAGTATTATAGCGTTTTGAGGGATGGAGAGCTCAGACAGAGCGTCGAGGTCTTTGCTCAATATGGTGACGATGACAGTGCGGACTTTCTCGCAGAATATAATCCAAAATTTTTAGACCCCTTTAATTCGGCAAGCCGAACCGAGCGTGCACTGTTTCGTCTAATCAATCGCTAAGTACGACATCGCCGTGCCCGCCACTTATCGATTGAGGTCATATCAGAGCTGCATAGAACTACTACAGGATGAAATAGCTGTAGCGAATCGAATTGCCACATTTGGGCCTGTCAAAAAAGCCACACAGATTGCGGGCGTCTGGGCACGTGAGCGGCTGGACAATTTCTTGGAAACGAGAAGGCTGCAGAATCTCTGAAACTCTATGCAGACAGCACTTTTCAATCATTGACCACAGAGATAGATTTCCCGAGATTAGTACTGGATGGCCAATTCCAGAAATGTGACGCAGGCTTGTGACAGATGCCTCAAGCCTCGTGACACTATCCTGCGCGGTCTCTCGAAGCTGTCGGTGATCAACACAGATACCTGGAAACCATTGTCAACGGTCTTGCAAAATGCTGGAGAGTGTCACGGCTGTGGACTCCTTCGACAAATGATTCATCGCTGTGAAGATGTGCTTGGCATCCGTTTCCAAGACGATCATATTCAGGTTGAGCCTCCTGATAGTAAACGAGCGCATTCGGAGTGTCGTATAAGCGGGCGTTCGGGACGCTATGTTATTCGATTTGGGTATACAGATGATAGCCGTTCCATATCTCATAGAAGAAGCAGTGAGTCTGAAACCCCTTTCAGAGTAGCATAAAAGGCTTGCCTATCTCACAATTATCGGGAAAGACAAGGAGTCATAGTGTTTGCATCGGGAACCATGGCCCTTTACTAACATATAAAAGGCTTTGTTGGAGACAAATCCCTACAGGCTCTTCCGCGTCTTGGCTCTCCTCCCCAGTCGTTTTCCTGGTCTTTAGCCAAAGACTGGATTAAGCGTTGCGAAAAGACCCACAAACACTGCCCAACAACCGAGTCAGCAACCCTACCGCGGAGAGTGCTGGATATTAGTTCTAGTGAGCCTTTTGTTTACGAAAGCAGCGGAGTTGTGCAGAAATACGCAACTTTGAGCCACTGTTGGGAGGATAGCCAACCAATCAGAACTACGAGGTCGAATCTAACCAGGCGACAAGGCCGACTAGAATGGGGTCAACTTCCTTTAGCCTTTCAAGAGGCCATCGATATAGTTAGAAAGCTCGGCATTAAGTACCTTTGGATAGACTCCTTATGTATAGTTCAAGATGACCCCGAAGAGTGGGCAATTGAGTCAGCAAGGATGGCCAACATATTTGAGAAGTCGGTCGTGACTATCGTGTTGCATCAACCTGGCCCTAATCAGAAAAGTACCACTGCGGAATTGTTCTCTGGCAATTGCACTTATTCAACTGATACCCTTTCAACTTTCTCTAAGAGACAACAGCATGCGCGAGTTGTGTTTTCAGTACGAGACCACAGGGGTCATGCTGAGCACGCTTTAGAAGAGGACTGGATTGACTCTAGCAAATTATCAACCAGAGGATGGTGCTTTCAGGTCAGCTTCAAATAATGGTTAATTGTGCTTTAAAGTTGACTAAGTCTTGATACAGGAACGACTTTTATCATCCCGACTTATACACTGCACCCCGGACCATATCGTCTTTGAGTGTGCCGAGGATGAGAGTTGTAGGTGTTCCTCAACAAATGGCCACTCTCACGACTCGTCGGGATTGAAGTCGAACTTCAGATCCAACTCAATGACCCAGCATCAGTGGCGACAAATGGTCACACTATACACAATGAAGAACTTTACTCGTCAAACTGATATCTTACCCGCTCTTGCTGGCATTTCCAACCGTATAACAGGAGACATTTATCACGGAGGGCTCTGGCATTCTACCTTCGCTCAGGACCTTGCATGGGTCACAATTTCGCGACCAAAACGACCTCCGACGCGACCTAAAGAATACGTGGCTCCTTCATTTCTATGGGCTTCAATTGTAGGAACGATTGAATTCGTGGACATATCATCGAAAATGTCGCAACAGTTCTCCATTGAAAATATCATACTTAAAGGAAAGCACGAAGAGCTGCTTGGAGAGCTCTGCGGTGGCCTTCTATTATTGCGTGGCCGCATGCGTGAAGCGAGTTTTGTTCATTACTTCGAACGACCCATGCCCACCAATCCCTTCTTGCCGTCAATTACTCGAGGAACAACTTGTATATGGGCAACTTTGGTGATACCTGATAATGGTCATTACATATTTCACCCCGATGCATTGACATTGCCCTCAATCCCAGAGGAGAATACCCGGCATTTATTCCAGGAAGGAATGGATCTATTCTGTCTTGAGCTGTTTGAGAGCGCACAACAAGCTAACCGCACTTGTTGTGCCTTGGTTCTCGTGGACTCGGGAAGTCGTATTGACGGGAGGACACTTTATCAACGTGTCGGAATCACCGCAGATGTTCAGGCCGATCTTTTCCGAAACGTTGATGAGAATGAAATTGCCATAGTGTAAGACATGGGTATCTAATGAGCGGTGGCGGTAGTCACGGTGTTGATATCTAGAGAATGTATCAGAAAAGAGAGAATGATTGACATTGATGTGTGGATGAGGACTAGATACAACGAGTGCTTGAGGCGAGATCAACCACAGCTAGGAAACCTCGTGCCCCTTGAAAATTGTCATCGAACCTTTCTCCTTGCACATGCAAACCTATAAAGAGCCCTAATCACAAACTAGGGCAGCTGGCATGGTGGCCGACTGGCCGAGTGATGGAAGGCTGTACTGAACACAAGTCCCATCTCCATCGCAGCGTGTGCGGCAAGTGAATCCTCCAATTGTAGCTACATTGTCGACACATGCTGCCTCGACATCACCGGTACACTCTAGGGTCCCGATGTTCTCCCATGTTTGACCGCACAACTCAGAGACTGAGTATGCTCCTTCGCCAGAGCCTCCGTTTTTCTGCACGTTGTCGTCCTGCTTAGCAGCCAGATAAAACGAGCGTGTGCATCCGCCAAGCATGTTGCAATAGTCTTCCTCAAGGATACCTGCGCAAATCCAGGCTGATGATTGCTGCACGCCTAGGAGGACTGCTATTGAGAATGATTGGATTGATGACTTCATGACGAGGATTGATTGCTATGTTTATCTTAAAAATTGAGAGTTCGTCACGGCCAGGAGTTGTTCGAAGTACGTTTTGCTCAATCAAAGTCAAATGATAATGCATACAGCTAAAGTCCGTCTCAAATCGAATGTGATTCGACTCTTTTATAGTAATCCCAACGCCATGCTCTCAGCTTTACATTGTCAAGATGATGATGTCACGTTTCATGACCATTCTATACATGAAGTGATCGCCGTAAGCTCTCAGTCCTCCCAGTGCGTGAGATGAATGGCTATTGACTTTTTGAAAATTGAAAATATGTTGAAGTTGCTCGTGATCGTTTGGACATCTGAAGATCGTGGGGCTATGCCTAAACTAGAGCGGCCGCTGAAGGAACTCAGGGGCAATTGCCTCTCTTACCAATTTCAGAGAGGCAGATAATTATTATTAGACTGTCGATCAATGCTGGATAAACTTTCCGCTTCACGAGCTTCACGAGCAATAGATTCACAGCATAAGGGGTTGCAATGTGAGCTATGGGCGCTTCTGACTGCTGATCGTCCAAATCGTCCTCAGGCTCTACGACCAAGTGCAAAAGGTCGAGCGGCCGCCCTGATATCATAGATTTCCCAGCCCCGATGTCAAGGCGATAGGTCTCTCTCTGTCATTTGTGCACCGTAGGTCCTATATTCCATGCATCCATACACATATATTTCATCCCTAACCCAAACGGTGTATTTGTGCTGCAGAACGAGTTCGCCATGTGCCCAAAAGATATAAATGGCAGCCAATTAGCAAGGCCAGCAACAAGAACTAAAGAGCCGAGCACAAAGGTGAGTGATTTGCCGTGAGACCCTCACAACGCTCTTAAGGTTCCGTAGCTTTGGTGATCATTTCATATTCCATAATGCCATGACAACCAAGCAAGGATGGCAGAGAGCAATGCCCTGGTCAACTGCCGACACCCCCACCCCCCAGACAGGTTCAGCCTGGGATTCACTGTTACAGACATATGTAGTAGATCTTCTAAAACACGAATTATTTGCTTCACCTGTGACGGACTAGAGTCTGTATATATACACTTGTCATGAAAAGACCAAATAATAGTTCATCCTTTATAGCATTAAAAAATTCATTAACATAACACATGGTTGAGCCTCCTTCCTTTCGCCACTGTAGTCACACAACATTTTATGCTCATGCTCTTTTAGCAAGAGTAATCGGAACTTCATCACAACAATCCTCTTACACCTTTTCAGTTTCAACCTTCTTCTGCTCCACCGGCGCAGCGTGCGAACCTTCCTCGCTAACTTCCCGCTCAAGCTCCTTCGCAGGTGCAGCATCAGCAGGGATGACGCTCTCGTCAATGTCGTCAATCTCAATCGGCAGGACCAAGTTGAGGACCATGCAGACAACAGCGGTGACAGCGAAGCCGGTCTCCATGATTAGCACGATCGCGTCGAGGAATCCGCGCAGCCCGTGGTTGGAGCCATTGTAGCTGAAGACGTTGTCGAAGTAGGTCGGGACCAGTGTCGCGCCGTAACCCAGAGCCAGACCGGCCGTCAGGATGAACCTGTTTCGGCGGTTAAATGGCACGCCGCGGGTAATGATGGCAATGCCGGAAACGGCGACGGCGCAGAAGAGGAAGGTGGTCATACCGCCGAGCACGGCAGAGGGTATGGCCACAAGGGCGGCGGCGAATTTGGCGAAGACGCCCATGATGATGAGGAACATGCTAATCATTGTCAGACTCAGGTCAGATGAAGGGCAAAGCAATTCAAGCTTACCAGCAGCAGTAACCAGCCTTGCGGTTTGCACATCTCGTAAGCGCAATAACACCGTTGTTCTGCGCGAAGGTTGTCATAGGGGTGATGGTCATCAGAGCGGCAAGGATACCGTTGAGACCGTCAGCCAAGACACCACCCTGGATGCGGCTCTCGTAGATCCGGCCCTCAACTTCGAGCTTGGAAACATCGCATGTAGCTGTGATATCACCAATAGCCTCGCAGGCACAGATGATGAATACGGCCATGATAGGCAGCACCAACGGTCCATAAACGCTAAGGGGGAAAGTGTGTACCCAGATGAATGAAGCAGCCGGGGCGCTGTCGATACCCGAGCGGTCGAAGTAGCCGCAAGCAGCAGCAATGATGCAACCAACTAGGAGACCGATGACGACAGAGGTGGACTTCATGATCGGGGAGCCAAAGCGCTCGCACAGGATAATTGTCAAGAAGACAGAGAAACCAAGGCCTAAGAAGTCGCTCATCAGCACATAGGCTATTTGATTCATGTCAGATGTAGTCAGTCTTACCAAGATATTCCGGGCTGCCCCAAGGAAGAGCGTGCGGTGCCGTAATATTCGGGCAGCGAGCGTAAAACTCGATTGGCTCGGTCGCAGAGCACAGTCCGGAACCACCAGCCCAGTTCTGGAAGCCAGACTGGATCAGGTGAATACCGATGAGCATGACCGTGGGACCTGTGACGATGGGCGGGAAGATGCGCAGCATGGTCTTGGGTGGGATGAAAGAGATCAAGACTTCAACGAGGGCGCACACAGCGGCTGTGCCGATGATAGCACCGTAACCTTCCGGACACGGGAGCGGCGTGCCGTCTTCGGCAGACGGGCAATAGCCATTAGCGTACATTTGGGCGAAGGCGCCTTGTGCGACGGGGATGATGGCGAAGGAGATACCGACGACGGAAATCAAACCCGTGCCAACATAGTATCTGCGGAATGTTAATGATTTTGGCTCTTGGTAAAAGCATTGCCTGATTGGCATTTATAAAGAAACCGACTTCCTCCATCTCTCCCTTTTTCATTGGAGTATGATGACAAGGATATGAAGGCTCTTACGGTGTCTTGTAGATATGAAACCGGGTGATCTGAATCATTGACAGGACTCCGGACACAATCAGGGCAGTCGAAACCAGATATTGTGTCATTTCAGTGGATAGGTTGACGCCTCCAGCACCGGCCATGATGATTGGCGGCGTGATGATACCAGCTAACATAGCAAGGGCATGTTGGAATCCCAGCAGCAAGGCGAGCACAACGGGGAGCTTGTCGTTTAGACCAAAGAAAGGAGCTGCCTGTTTCGACTTCTTCATGAAAGGCAGATTCGGCTTGAACAGGAACGCGTAGTCGTAATCACCAAGAAGACCATCTCTGGTCAGCATTGTCTTCTTCACAGTAAACAAGCGATCACGAAAGGTCCGCTTAGGAGTGCTCTCGGGCACGATCTGCGAGGGGACCTGATCCTCATCCATGGCGGCAGTGGTGAATGAGCAGCAGTCAGTGGAAGCTCAACAAGGTCGACTGAAGAGTTGAAAAAGATGTATTATATAGCTGATGTCTTCCAGCAGGGAGAGCTGTGGTCTCGGTGGTGGGGGTTTGCCTCGAATTAAATACACTTCAGCTCCTGTGGCAGCTTGGGGCTGTCCTCTACATCAACCAGCTACGACGTGAAGTGTGGACCAAGCTTGGGTCAGCTCCGTCTCGATCTCTGGCCGGACCCGGTAGTGGCAAGGATGGGCGATGGACGACAGAGACAAGGAGACAAGACATACTCACACCTGTGACCAGTGAAATCTCTTCCTGGCACGGATTACAAGATGATCTGACAAGCCCAAAAGCTGGGCGTGCCCCACAGCAGTCAATTGGTCTCCTCGCTTCTGAGCCCCCTACCACGCCAATAACACGCACGCTGCCGGGCACAACCGATGAACGCTCGCACGGCACCGCTTCAGCACAATGGCACTGTCAGGGTCCTAAAGCGGAATCGCACAGTTCTCTGGTCCCTGCATTTGGGGCCTGGGTGCTGTTAGATGTTGCCCTGTCCAGCTACTTCAAGTTGAGTTCGGCGAGTTCCTGAACCTTTTTCTGTTCTGCGTCCCGCAGCCGGGAGAACACCGGAAATTCTAGTCTAAGATTCCACGCCGTTGTGTGGGGGCCCCGATATCCGCCAGCGTGGAGGCATTTTGCCGGTGTATTGAACCAGCCTAAAGTGAAGCTGTCATGGGCTTTTCACGAGCCTCGGTCATGCTTGATGTAGATACCCTCCATTGACTTCACCGGAATGAAGACGGGCCAAAAAGGGGGGGAACTTGAACGCAGATCCTGGGGGTATCACCAACTCACCGATAACCGAGCATTGATGCGACAAGCTTCTCCAAGTCAGGCATTCTCTGCTCAATTGGCCGCATGCCATGATCGCCTATTGCATCCGTCTCACGTCATGGGATGCAGCTATTCAGGTCCCCTATCTGATCTGATACTTAGGGATGTGCTTGTCCACGCAGATTTTCGCTGGGATCAGGGTGGCACGATCGCGATATCGCAAACGATTGACGTTTGTGCATGAGGTCACTATCTGGGAGTGTCTCGCATCGTTACTCGATTAGAAAGACTAATGAAGGGTCACGATATCTCGGACGAGAGCCAAGACGCGCCCTTGACGTCTAGACGGAGCCACTGGAGCTACTGGGCGGAAGTATTGATAGAGGGCCATGATCAACACGAGACTGGGTGACTGGCTGGCTCCTTTGGCAGGCGGAGCAGGCGGAAGCACTAGATCTCGACTGTGGGCTGAGATGCGTAGAGCATTGGCATACATGGATGAGGCGCTCGTGGAGCGGTCGAGGTTCGACAGCAGTTGGACAGAGATAAGGATCAAGCCACCGGCCACTCCCAGTAGCTGAATTCCATCACCAACTGCCTTGTGTCAGAGGCGGCTCTGATAAGGCTTTTCTCGGCATCGCCTGCAGCCGCCTATTGGACAACTGTCTCAGTGGCTTGACCCGACGGTTCTAGGGCGGACCCCGCCGCCCGCATGCAAAGCTAGCTAACACTACTGCTCCAAAGTAGTAATTCAGATTCACGATTTGTTCCAGGGCAGCACACAGAGAAAAAATTTCCTGCTGTCGCGTGCGTTGTTATGCAGTGATGCTGAAGAGACATGCAGATGCAAGCCATGAGACATAATGGAGACTACGATCATTCCGGCCCTGTTATCCAGACTATCACCTCAACTTGTCCGTCTAGAGTTGCATCATCGACCGTATTTAGCTAAGGCCTTGGTTAACCCGTGCGAGTGATGGTGAAATGCTGCTGCCGGCTCATACAAGTCGGGAGCATTAACTAAGCCTAGCTATCCCACTTAGTTAGCTTGATTGCGGATGTGTCGTGCATCTGACTAACAGCACAGATTCCTCTAAATTCGTCGGTGAGTTAGCGCGTCAGGCCCTTCAGCTTGCGCCTTTCAGGATTGACTTTTGCCGGTGGAGATCTTCTCGGAAGAAGTGAACCATCAATAGATAGTCATCCTTACGAATGGAGGGCCTATGTTCTGTTCCTTTTGATTTCGTACAACATTACCTCTCAACGAACATGTTCCTCGAAATGACGTTCTCATCTTCGAGGACAGTGTATACCAATGAGAATTGGCACCAATCGGGTGTTGCACTGGACGTTACAGGGACCTTTGCATTAGCCTCCGTCCATCCACATATGGATTTGACGTAACAAAATCACCATTATAGACAAGCGCAACCCGTTTCAACTGCAGGACAGACTTTACATGCTATCTCGGCTTCAGATGAGGGACAATAGTAGTAGACGTTATGTACCGTCTTGAGGACAGAACTTTTGATCCTGGCTATGTGCACATAAAGCATTCCACACGTCTGTGAGCTTACAAACTTGCTCGAGGAGCTTCTATGGATGCGAAAATAATTTCACAATAATAACTACATATCTCAATCTAGCTTTTTTGCAATACTTCAATGTTCTACTAAAAAGTGTACAAAGGGCGAAGAACCTCTCGAAGGCTATGATATAGAATTGGGCAATGACATCAAGTCCTAAGAGCGAGAGTTTTAATCATCAAGTTGCCAAAGTCTTTGATAGAACATATTGTGTTCATTAAATGACCTTGTTATTTTGCGTCCAAGTATCTCTGAAAGTTGATAATGCCAGAGTTCGCAACCGCTCGTGCTGAAGAGACGTAGTAAGACGAAAGCGAGATGTTTTGAAGAGAACATAAAGTCCCCTGATAGCCCCACAGGTACTAATGACTCTTGATATGAGGCACGAATTTCGTAACGCCATCGAGTAAGTTCTCCACAGAGAACGACCCTGCGCTAAACACTGTGACTAGCGCCGGTCTAGATATGGAAGCCATCAAGACTTGGTGGGGGGTGAGAAGTATCTAAACAACGCTATAATTCGGTTTCACGGCATTTGAAGTTATTTGCTTCAATTCAAGCGTAGACGAAGCTACTATGTTAAGCGAATGGGAGGTGAATTGAATTGAAAGACGTCACTACAGTTTCTTCGCTGGTATTCTTCCTCTCGATTGTCTTGTCCTTAGCCAAGAAAGCGCTTGGCAGGTCTTGGCCGATAATACAACCCAGAACCAGGTTGATCAATCGACATCAAAAATGTAGCATGAGTTATCTGTTACGAAGGCAGTGAATTTATACTCGGATTGATTGAGTATAAAGGTAGAAGAAGTCCCTATTCCACCCCGTCATTTGTCTACGGAAAAAGTCAGTACACTCTCGCGACAAGAACTGGGAAGAAACATTCTTACTTCTTCCCCATGAGAGAGTGTTTCCGTCCTAGAGGCAAGATTAGGAAATACTCCAGGGCGTCGGGAGTGGCCCACGTAGTATGTCTCGTGATTGACCTCACAGATACCGCTCTCAGACTCTGACTTGTGGGCATCACAGTATCGACGGTTACATAACAGGCAAGTCTGTATCTTGCCAGTTGTTTGCAACGCTCTGTGCTGTTGTGGGCGCCGTCGGCGCATCTGCTCACACATGAAGCACTCGGTTTCTATTCCACCAGACGAAGGCATGGTGTCTGACCAAGTATAAACACGCAGAGATCGATTAATTTCTCGAAGATACAATAGAAAGATAATTATATATCATCCCCCGCTCAGATGTGACTCAGGATATTACAGCTCTTGTTGGGGAGGCTGAGCCATCGTTAGGCGCTGCATGGCGCTCTATGTTTCATTTTGGCTGAGTATATTACGCCCGACTTGTTTGTGCATGAAAGCCACACAATCAACGAGCCTACAAATGTAATTCGATCTTACTGGATGAGCTTGAAGCTAGGCTGGCTGCTCTAGTTGTAATTTAATGATCTTGTTGCAAGTGCTCCAGGTCGGTTAGTCGCGGTTTAGTCACACCCGGACGACAATGACATCCATGTTGCCCCAATTGAACACTTTGAAACAGGAACAGGCAGCCCGACATTTATCCGGCACAATATGATAATATCAGCAAATCAAACCGTACTACAGCCTTTGGACTTTTTGTCTAACAAGCCAAGGCTGAATTGTCTGTCTACCATCCAGCGACCTCCGAATCAAAGTCGGAGGAAGTACCTTCCTCGGATGTAGTATCTATATCAGCAGCTTCTTTTCCATCTTCTTTCCCAACCTTGAACTCCTGAATCGCCAGTTTGCTCTCTTTCTTCACGAAGTCGATGTTAATGCCGTCTCTATCACCCTCAACAAAGTCTGGCACATGAAGACTCGAGTTGGCCCATCTTTTCACTGAACAGTTGGAGAGTGTGTCTGTGACCAATAATTTGATTGTCAAATCAGGGACTTCTGCGAACGACTTGCATAACGTCTCAAGCAATTTCTTTGCGTCGTCATTACTGCCAGATATTCTTGAGAACGAATCGATCGTAATGAACACGGCGTCTCCTTTAGGAAAGAGGTGTAGCAACCTCTTGAACAGTGCTTTCTGGGCATAGTCCTTCTCTGACAGAAATGACAGATCAATAGTCGGCCGGCACTTCTGTATGAACCGGAGGAGCTGCCCATTTAGACTTTTAAGCATTGCCCGGGAGTTTGCCTGTTCTGAAGGTGCATCGTTTGTTCTGATTCCGCAGAAGAAAGCTAAAACCGGGAAGCTTGTTGCGCTAACGAGAGTCTTGCACAGTAGAGCAGATGTAATTGTGATTGAGTTCATGATGTTTTCTGGAGCTGTTTCGGCAGTGACCTCAAGAGTACATGACTTGCTGGTGCTTAGCCACTCATATATCTCACCCGAGTTCATCATCCATTGAATCTTGTCCTTTTCCCTCATACCTATTGTCTCAATGCTATTGATACACTCTGTGATGTCGTTTGATGGATCAGTGTCGAAAGAACCTAGCTGGCTGAACCACCGGTCAACTAATTTCTGGTTTTTGTCGGCGAAATTTGCGACAGCATTCGGGATACCTCCGATTCTTTTTTGATCTGAGGAAAGAATAGATCTGGCATATTCTCTAGCTCTCTCTTGATCAACTGAGTCAATTAGCCATCGAAAAATTCCAGGATAAAGAACGATGCTTACATGTGCCATCCACTGGATTGAAATCGGGGTCGCTAGCGAGGAAACGATAAAGCCTGTTCCATACTTCGGCTTGGACGCGTTCGTGAAACGTTTGTTCTTGTCCCTCCAGATATTTTTGTTGATTTTGCAGTATAATTTTCAAGCTTGCGTGGTCTTCTTTCATTTCTAGTACGTTGTGAGTAGTAATCTTGATCGGGGAGAGCTAAACATACTCTCTAGTTCTTCTTTGATGTCGTCGGCCACCAAGTTAACCCTCAAAACATTCCTGTCGATTGTGCTTGTGCGCCGTTCCATTCTTCCCATTCGTTCATCAGCACAAACGTTCACCTCTTCTTGGAATGCTTTTATATCACTGTCTAGTGTGTCGAGGGCTTCTCTGATATCATCGCCGTGCCCCTTTACCTTAGACACTAGTTTTTCTTCAACACCACCGCATCAGCTACTCGCACTCCATCATCGCAATAACGTATTGTGACGAAGCTCACTCACCACTGAAACTCATAGATAATCTATCAATGATGCGCTCTAGGACAACAAATATGGAGACCAACACAGCATCTGCATATTCGTGGAGCCTCGCTGATTCCATGTGAACGTCAGACAGTCTTTGTACAGCGTCTAGTTTTCTCGGTATCTCGAGTAGTGCTGTGTGAATATCGCTCTGAAGCTTTTCATAGTCTTCTATGCCCTGTTCGAAAGCTTCAGGTCAGCTGGCATAGCTCCATGGCCTCTTTTGCTGGTATGCGTACTGCAAGGATCATCGTCAACCCTCCTGAGATGACAAATCCGTAACTATCATTTGGCACAAAGGCAAGAATTGTACTCCGATGTTTTCTCGCGGCCTTGAAACACTTGCGGATTACTCGCATGCTTGAGCGCGCCTTTTCCGAATTCTCGTTCCTTTCTTTGATTTTTTGGGCCACCAACACCACATCTGTAAGTTTATAATCTTTTGGGTCCTTGAGTTTGATGCCGAGTTTCTGGTCGAGCTTTCGCTTTTTAAGAATCGTGCAAAAGCTCTTGAGCACCTTCTGAAAACGATCCATTTGTTCGGCGGACGGCTTATACGGGTCCACCTCTCTGATGACCCGTCAATCTCTAGATCTTCTGTGAAGTTACACGATTCTTACTTTGTCACTTCACTTTTCGCCACAAAGGCATCTCTCTCAATCAGGAACCGCGGTCTGGGAGTAGTGCTGCTTTCACCAACTGTCACGACCTGGCGAACAACATCTTGCCCAGCACGTGTCTCGACGAAGCCTGCTGCCATATTCGGCAATGTTCTTGCGCGTACCACAGTCCATTGCTGCGGTTGTTGTGCCATTATTGTCTCTAGTGCGGACGTTGTCTGCGAACTTGAGGTTGCAAGAGCTTTGCTCCTGACCTTGCAATACTAACTTATCTCTCAAAACACTTGATTTCGAGCAAATTGAATGCGCAAGGCTCTGAACCTAGGCGGGGTGGTTCATGTTGCATGTGCAACACAGCCACAGGCCCCCATAAGAGCGTGCATTCATAGGCCCCTCAAATAATCTTGCCGGCGATCGTCCTTTGCGATACCACACCATAGGCGGAATGTCTGCCACGTAGGGGGTAGGACCGCGAGAGGAAATTTCTGTTCATTGGCTGCTTCTCGGTGTCCGCTGGGTCCCAGGAGGCATCCCCTGGTTTCTGTGTGCATGAGCTGAAAAGCCAATGTTTCGCCAGCCGCTGGATCCAGTAATACCAGTACTCTTTGGCGCGGCCCCCAACTTTCGCCGCCTCAACAAACTTGAGCTAGAGAAAGGTGTCTGGACTCAAGCGAATTTGCAGAAGTCCTACGAAGAAACAGTAGATAGAACAATATCAATTCCTAGCCTACCCAAAGACCTTGGAGAGAGTAAAGACGCAATCCACTCATGGTCGAAACTTCCCGCCTCACACAAGCTTGAGCTACATTGGGAAGCTGCATGCCCAACCACCACTTCTCGAGGGTGTTGTGGGGGCTAAAAGACGAGCACATAAGTGTATGCAGGGATGTGTATCCTTTAAGCTTCCCCTGCCCGCCTCATATGAGGCTCGTGAAGCTCCGACTACTTTCAGACTTTTGTCTTCAGACTCGTTTGCTTCTAAGTCAGTATCTGCACGGCTGTCATCTACGAGTGTATACTGCTGGTTCCGCCACAACAAAGTAACACGTCAAACATTGGAAGCCCACCAAGTCCGCTTCCCAAGAATTGAAGCCCGGAGACTTTTGACTTTCACAGGAGTATTGGATACGATAGCACTAAATTAGCTCGAAAGCATTAACTGCGAGTATGGAATCTCAAGAGACTGACGATCAGTCTCTGAAGGTCCCGGGGCAGAACTCCGAAGGCGCATCTCTTACACGATCAACGAGCACGGCAGACAGCTCTCTCTTTGACGCGTCGAGTCAAGCGCCATCATCGCAATCATCTGACCTACCTGATACGGGCGGAACGTCGGATGCCAAAGAACAAAAGCAAGATACGGTACAGGAAGCGCCACAAAAAGATGCTGAACTAAATGAAAAGTCTGCGGAGCCTGCGCCTTCGGACGCTGGGAGTCAAAAGAGCAGGAGATCGCGCCAGGCCGAATCAGAGAATGCAGACGACTCGGACACCTCAGAGGAGTCCGAGGCTAACCCATATTACAATGATTACACGACGAAGGACATAGCTAGCCAGCTTGATTCTAAGGGCCTATACGAAGCATATGTCATGAAACTACAGCGGCAGGATGAGAAGTCAAAGAAACCCAAGAAAGAAAAGAGCTCTCGGCTAGTAAGGAGCTTCGTAGATTATGTTCGGCTTCTAGAAGAGCGTATTGAGCAGCTGGAAAACAAAGTTGGCAAGGCTGATGGTCCAGCTCCAGAGGAAGAAGATCAGCCAAATGAGCAAGGGTCAACAGTTGCTGAAGAGACTACCGATGAGGCTAAGCCTGCTGATGCTGAGGACACCGAAGCTGCCTCCGGCGAAAGATGGGCAGATGTGGCCCTTGAAACGAAGTTCTTCCAGGCTGACAATGAATTTGACGCCGAGGGCGGATACGTCTGGGGGAATATCCGGAAGAAAGGCACATATCAATGCAATGAGGATCCGAAGGTTCTCATTCGAGTTCTTTACAATTGGGCCGAGGACGTCGCTGAGAAACCCCCAACGCTCACTGAAGGAGAGACACCAAATCCAAAGCATATCGATCCTCTTGCCATTGGGGTTACATCCGAGCCCATTTCTACCTTCTTCTCCAAACAGCTTGATCTCGACGTCGACAGTAACAACCTAGTCCGGTTCTCGAAACCCTTTCGACCTCTTCTAAGGAACTTGCAACCACTTAGAGAGCAACTGGTTAAACTCGAAGGAATGTTTGAGTACGTCTCGTTTCGGATTTGAAGTACAGGGCATGGTAGCTAACGTCTCTATTAGGACCGATGAAGACGAGCCGCAATCTGCAGTACCTACATCTGTTGAAAGTGTTGAAAAGAAAGAAGACGATAAAGAAGCAGAAGAGCAACCCACTGAGGGCGATGCACTACCATTTCCTCCAGAAGAGAATGAGCAGGATATCGAGCCATTCGACCGCAAAGAAGCCATAGAGCATTTCCGTATCCTCATCCAATGGATCGAGAAGTATCTCAAGAAAGCGCTTGATCTTCTAGAGCGATTCAAAACTGGTAGGGAGGAGAAGGTAGCATTTGAGAACCTGTGGATGTTGTTCGAATCCGGCGACACAGTTTACTCGCATTTCCAAGAAGGCGGGCAGGTCTTAGAGAACGACGTCGGCGACATTCACATAAAGAAAAGGCGAGATGTTCCGCAGGCGTATCGCGTAATTGCGACGGCTGGTGGAATACCTTTACAGAAAAGCTTGGCACCTAAAACGAAGGATCCGGATGAAGAAATGAACGAAGCCCTTCTGAGAAAAATGGCCTGGAATAACAAGAGAGTTCGAATGATGAGTCCTGCGCTCCTGCGAACGACAACTGAAGACTCAGGGCCAATGAAAATGAAGAGAAAGTACAGTCCATTATATGTATATTGCTTTTACATTGACTTTGATGGGAGCAAATACGGGACTGTCACAGAGATCTTTGTGTTCAAGCCGCATGACGGCGATGTTGACATCAGGAGTCTCGAAGCATATCCGTATCATTTTATGACGACACCGGCAATGGGACTCAAGCCCCCAGAACATCAAGGGGAGGGAAACAAAAAGGACAAGTTGCTCGAAAGAGGCCGGAAGTTTATTGATCTTACAACGGTATCTCATATGTCATACGAAGGCTTGACAATTGGAGAGAGTCGAGAAGAGGTATGCCTTGTCGCTCCCGAAAGTTTTCTTTGGATCCATACTAATTGTTGCAACAGATCAGCAGTGCGGTCATCGTCGACTTCAAACTGGCATACCAAGAATACAAGCAACAGTTCCCTGAGCCAGACGAAGTCGTGCCGAAATTCTCCTCCTTGACTAGTTATTGGCAGAACATCAGAGAGCGCCAAGTCATCGAAATGTATCGATGCTCATGTGCAATTCTTTGGTGCCATAGCACCGATTGCACTTGGGATCAGTATGCTGACCAGCAAAAGAAGCATCGAGATAAAGTGGAGTCGAACATGAAGCTTCTCCTAGAGGAGTACGAAATCGAAAAGTCAGACCAGAATGATGGCATGAGGAAATTTAAGCAATATATGGAAGAAAAGGATCTCATCCGTATTCTACCTGGCGTCGTTCCGGGATTTGCTCTCAGAAATAGGAAATGGGGTAAGTTTGTCCTGTCGAAAGCGCACAGCACCATTACTAACTCTCTCAAAGTTCGACTGGACCTCAATATGCTAGACGAGGTGAAACGGGAAGACAACTGGAATGATCTCGTGCTGCCTCCTGGGCATCGCAAAATGGTTCAAGCAATGGTTGAGACACATGCAAAAGGCACAAGGTCTACGTCGGGCCATGCGATTGACAGAATTGAGATGGATCTGGTCCGGGGAAAAGGCAAGCGGTCCAAGCTATTGTTATTTCCGGTCCGGGACTAACACATCGGTGTAGGCAAGGGCTGTATCATTCTACTTCATGGTGCACCAGGCGTAGGAAAGACGTCTACTGCTGGTATGTTCATCATAGCGATGTGCGGAGGTTGTTAAAAGTTTTGCTGATCATAATAGAGTGTGTCGCCACTTACACTGAACGGCCATTGTATCCAATCACATGTGGTGAGTAGTTCTTTCGAATGACATCCGGGAAAGAGTACGACTAACTCCTTCAGGTGATATTGGTTATGTGCCTGAAGATGTCGAAGACAATATGGAGAAGCACTTCAAGCTAGCACACAAATGGGGATGTGTACTTTTGCTTGATGAAGCTGATGTCTTCCTTGCGAAGCGCAACGTATGTTTGGCTACTTCACCTAAAATATCATTGATACTGATCTCGCGTAGAAAGAAGATATTAAGAGGAATGGCTTAGTATCAGGTATGACTCGTCAAACTTTCAATAAAGATGCCGCATTTTGAGAAGTGGTGCTAACCTATATCAGTCTTCCTACGCATCCTCGAATACTACTCCGGTATCCTCTTCCTCACGACGAATCGAGTCGGCACTATCGACGACGCATTCCGTTCACGACTGCATTTGACACTCTATTACCCCAAGCTCGACGAGGAGCAAACAATCAAGATCTGGAAGAAGAATTTGGACCGTATGAAGACCATTAACGAGGAGCGCATAAAGAATGGTCGTCTCGAAGTGAAGTTCAACAAGAAAAAGATCCTGGCTTGGGCCAAGAAATACTGGCGCGCACTCCAATGGAACGGCCGACAGATCCGCAACGCATTCCAGACGGCAGTGGCACTCGGAGAGTTCAAGTCGCGCAAGGAGGCCAAAGGCGGGGAGACGTCTATTAAGCCACCCGTCATGGACGTCAAATACTTCAAGATCATTGCCAAGGCCTCGATTCAGTTCAACGAGTATCTCCGGGAGACGCACGGTGCGGACGAGGAGAAAACTGCGAAGCGTGATATGATCCGCACTGATTATGCCTTTGAGTCGGATGTCAAGATTAAAGGCTTCGACGGTATTGTAGACTACGATGACAGTGACGAAACAACCTCCGGCTCCGAGTCGGATATCTCTTCTGATACTGAGTCAGAAGCCGAAGATGGTAGCGACAACAATGGATCAGACACAGAGTCAGAGGAGTCTGAAGACGAAAAGAAGAAAAAGAAGCGCAAGGGGAAGAAAGCAAAGAAGGAATCGACAGGCAAGTCTAAAACTTCAAAGGAAGAGAAGACAGACAAGGGTAAGTCATCAGATAGGAAGAAGAGATCATGAGGGAGGGTTCAAGAATAGCATCTCTCACCTCTCGAACATGGTTTCTTGAGTGTCAGGACTCTTCCAACAACGGTTCGTTCAGCTATTCTCTTTCAACAAGAGATTATCCTGTCCGAAGACTGCTCGATGCTGTAAGATAAATCGGTCCCGTCCTGTTTCACTTAGCGAGGGCACCTCCAAAGTCTACGATCAAAGTTTACAACTGATATATATATCTTAGCCATATCTATAGGGCAACTTTTGATGCGTAATATAAACCTTATCTACATCTGTATATGAGAAATCTCAATTCCATGAACAGTAAATCCAGAAGCGTTGCAGCCGATATCCCATGCAAAATGCCATATAAAATGCGCAACAAACATCTCTACGACGGTACTAGTGTATTCACAACTACAAGTTCTTCAGGTCGAACTTCTTTCTCAGGTACTCGCCCCATTTGAGAATGAGAAAGGGTACAGGAATCATCGCGGCAGCAATGAATCCTAGCAAGCTGTTTCCCCAGCCCATGCCGAGTGTGTCATACATCCGCAGACCGCACAGTGGCAACACCGCACCAGCAATTGATCTCACGACCGTATTCGCGGCGAGGGAGCTGGCAGCATAGATAGTAAAAGCGTCGACGAGATACATCTGGAGTGCCATGAAGATGATCAGATTTGCAACGCCGATTATCACGGTTCCGAGAATGGGCACAATCCAGTGCACATGATACTCAGCCGTCCATCCGTAGATGAAGAAACCGACTGGCAAAAGTAGGGCGCCAATCGGTAGTGGCTGTAGACGGTACTCAGGCTTCATTCCCTGGCCTTCCTTCTCGGCACGCTTCTTGATATTGCGATCAGATGAAGCGCTGAAGAAGACAAGGCCGACCATCGATCCAATTCCCAGGCCGAGAAAGACAAGTCCAACAGTGCTAGTGGAAAAGTGGTAGTACTCTTGGAAGACCTCGGTGATGGAAGTGAAGAGCAGGTAGAGGTAACCGTAGACAACAGCCATATATAGAGCGAATATCATGACAATCGGACTCCTAGCCAACATCTTTAGAGGCCGTACAATTCCGCGCTTGAAGTAATCCCCCGGACTAAGACCAGCGTCGAGCTTGGATCGTAATAAATTGTTGCCGGTCTCCTTGCGAAGCTTGTTGACTTTCCGCTGGAGGAGGATGGGCGCATATGTCTCCCGGACAAAGAAAAACATCATGACGCTGACAAACCCTCCAATAATGACGAGAAGCCAGAAGACCCACCGCCAGCCTTTCGCATCAGATAAAAACCCTCCAGCAACAGGACCGATAATAGGTCCAAGGAGCGGTCCAATGCTGAAGATAGCCATCGCCGCACCGCGCTTCTCTTGCTTGATCATGTCGGCGATTGAGCCGCCGCCGTTTGTGATAGGCGTAGATCCAAAGATACCAGCAAAGAAACGGAAGACGATAAGGGCATTCAAGCTCGGGGCTAGGGCGCAACCAACACAGAAGCTGATGAAGCCAATGTTGCAGATATGATAGATGATCGTACGGCCATAGATCTCAGAAAGCGGCGCCATTAGCAACGGTCCAAAAGCAAACTATTTCCCCGTCAGTATTTGATGATCACGATAAAGCCACGAAAAATTCAACATACGCCAAGGACATAGACTGATACAACAAAGGCAGCCAGCTCGGTGCTCGAGCTCTTAAATTCAACCATAAGTTGCGGAACGCCAGGTGCGAAAATTGCTTCACCAAAAGTCAATAAACGAGGAATATATGCTCAAGGTGGTCGTGTGGTAGGTTAACAACTTACAAGAAGCAAGAGGAGTGATAAAGGTCAAGAAGCTGATCATGCCGCAATTCACATACTTCTGCCACTCTGGCCAGTTATAAGGATTGGCTGGATCATCGTCGCCATCCCACCACACGACATTGGCTTCGTCGTCTGAAGTGGTCGCTTCCTCCTCTTTTTCCGGTTCCTTGCCCGCTTCCTTTTCTACGTCTTCTGATACGCGACTCCTTTTCCTCGCAAGAGAGTTCCGCCTTCGCTCCGCGATTGACTTCTGGCGCTTCAATTCGCCTGCGTCGTCGAGTACATAGCCAAGATTTGAAGGTATGTCCGCGTCGTGGCCTTCGTCTATGGCTTCCTCGATCTTCTGCTGGCGCTCGATTTCCTCATCGTTATTGCGGGTCGAGTCATCCGCACTGTCTGTGTGATGCACAGGCACCTCAGCCGGCGCCTCGTGGGCGGCCATCTGGAGGCGCGGGTGGCGGCCGCTGCGATCCTGCGCTTCCTGTTAGCCATGCTATTCGGTGCCAGTGACCAATTGGCCCCGGATCGACGTGGCAAGGCATGGAACCGAGTATCTATTTTCTTTGCGATTGAGTGCTTACAAGATGAGTTACCTCTCAAGTGGTCGAGAACCGTTGGCCCAGGCACAACAGTTATGCGGTACACAACCAGACTGTGAGAAACCTTAACAGCAGCCACCGCAGCTTGGCGAGCGGGAGGACTTGTGCAGATCGGCCCAGGCTGAGGGAACTGGGTTGATTAGCCAAGACACACAATGATTCGAAGGACACTGCACGCACAGAGACACTGAAAACTTCGTGACACTATGCGCCGAGGACACTTAAGGGTGGACAACGACAGGAGCCGCAAGATCAAGACTGTGGAGAGAGCAGGGTTATCAACACCCTCAATTCTTGAGCCTTCAAACTGGCGGGGAGCCTTGTAGAAAAAGCTTCCATGGCAATTCGAAAAGGAAAAACAGCGACGATCTTAAGGCGTCACATTGAGTTAACCTCGAAATAACCCCCCGTCGCATCGGCGCGTGTTGTCCCAGCGGCGGTACCGGGCTTAATGGGGACTTTTGCGATCCTCCTTGCACCGGAAGCACCAGAGAGCAGGAAAGCCTGCATAACTCTGGCGGCCGGCAATCAAATTTGGTGTCCAAACGGAAGATTAACTCGAAAACGGCTTAGAGAGAGTTGCATAAGTCGGGCACAAGCGGTGACAGAAGACCACCACCCTCGCAACCTCGCACCGAGCCCGGCTCCCTGAAACCAATCAATCGATCCACCATCGTGCCGTGCCATCCCTACTACCACGCGAACGGCTCAGCAGCTCCACAAGCTGAGATGAAGCAATCACAGCGGGCATCTTGAAGCAGGGAAGCTAAGTGTGATAGTCTGTCTATTCCTCAAGTCAAGAGGCTGTGACTATGTATGGGAAGATACACGAGCAAAGGATTACATCCAGAAGTCATTTAACGTTATCAGCAACACAACAGAGACAGTAACTCGTGTCCGTTGCCATACTCTTCTCACTCCACTTCAGGTCCTTCTGCTCCCCCTCAGTCCCCTCACTTCACCACACCTGGGCAGTCCCGTTGACAGCTATCAAAACCAACTTAGTGCTTAGGTCCACCTCCTCCACGCCGATCACCCGCCTCACCCCGCACTATCGGATTCCTATTACACCCGACTCCCTTATGTAGTAGCGCTAGACAGTGTGATTCTACTTGAGGAGGCGGAACAAAGTACCTCTCCCTCGTCGAGCCAAAGTTTCTTGGAGATAGATAGGCATGTAGCTCAGAAATCCATACATGGCCGTCTTCGCAGTCTCGCTACTGTGCATGTTCTGAGAAGGGAGACGATTCCAATTGGCCAGAGTCAACTGACTGTACTTAGGAGTTAAAACATTTGGGCTTTTCAGCCGCTGATGCGAACTTGAGGTTGCACAGAAAGAGATCCTATGCTTGTTTGATTGGCCCTATCACACGCGGAATCATCCGTCCAAAGAACGCCGCATGTTATCAACCTTCTTGATTGCCCCTCGCATCGTTTTCGGTTCAGCCACTCCAACGCATGACACTTCACGAAACTTTGAGCTACACCAGCCCATCCCCTGGTGCCGTTCTACTCAAAGCAGAAGTCAAGCGGGATGTCCGGAGCTAGGACCGTCAGGTTCGGCGGCAATAGCGATGGGAGCGGTGGGAGCGACTCGGGTATTGAATCCGCCGGACACGAGGCCAGCCACGGAAGACCAGCCCGTCCCGATAGCAACCTCACCCCCGCTCCTCCCCCGGTCCCCCTCTCTTCACAACATATACCAGACAAGCCAGCGTCGGCTAAAACTGTCAGTTTTGTTGGCGACGTTGGCAGGAGACACAGGAGCGGCGAAACCGACTCAGTCATCGGTTCCATCGTAGATCAGGCTAGCCATAGAAAGACACCCGATCCCGATTTATTCACGACTATTGAGGCCCAGAGATACGAAATTCGTGCACTAAGGGAAGCTCTCGACGGTGCGGAAGAGCAGACATCACATTATAAAAGAAAGGCAGAGCGGATCGATGCGGAACTCAGCCAGACTCGTAAGGACTTGCGTGAGAAGCAAGCGCAATGGCGTGAGCTTTTTCACCGTACGGAACAGCTCGAGGACGAGAGTAAGAGGCTTCTTGAGAAAATGGAGTTGATGAAGATGTTGCAAAATACACCTCACGATAACGAGAATCTCAAGATGTTAATTGCAGATGCTATCCACACGCTTAAGCAGCAGCTTGGCGACCAGCAGCCGCCTCTAGTCATCCGCGGGTCTCTTCCGCAGTCTCCTGAATTCAAGAGTTCCTCGCGATCAAAGAAAGCAGAGGCTAAACGGGAGAAGGAACGGTTAGCGAGAAGATTCGAGAAGAGCGATGACACGGTCTCGGAGCCGGTATTGCTGTCGCGTCCGCCACGGCGTCGACGCGACAGCTATGTCGAGCCTTGGGGCCTGGGTAACCCACCACAGAAGGCCCCCAGTTTTGTTGAATATGCTTCAACGACTTCGCGACCTGTAATATCCGTTACTCCTAAGAGCTACGGAGTCCTACCTACACAGCGACAAGCCACACACGAAGATGGACACTACGAGGACGGCAATTATCACTCTTATCCGTTACTAGAAAGGCCCATGCGTAACACCAGCACTAAGTCGGGTCACGACGAGGTGAAACAGGATCCAGAGACGAAGCTGCGGTCATTGGTAGAAGCGGAGGCCGCATCAGCATCAGAAATCCGCGATGAGGAATCCGATCTCAGCAATATAGGCGTTGAACCAGAGCAAAAACATAGCACTCAACACACTGAGACAAACCAGTCGCCCAAGACTTCCAAACCAAGCCATCGCGAGGCTTTAGACACAACTTTTGAACAAATCACTAGCACCGACGCCAAATTAAAAGAAGAAAATGAGGCGTTACGCACAGCACTCCGAGAAGCGCTCACGCATTCACTTCGCGAAGCACTGTGTTCTACCATGACAAGCTACAAGATCCGTCACGCTACAACGAAAGTAGAAAGCGCGGATGAATTGAAAAGGCGCTTTGCTGACCTCCTCCTTCCCAAATTAACGCACAGCAACAATGCGACAACAGTGACTTGAATTATGGCCGCCTACTCGATGCGTTTCTATATAGAGGGCAAGGTCCTTTGGACTAATTGTACGAAATGATGATTGGCCGGGATAACGCTACAGACAAAGCGTTTATGCATAGGGCCCACGATATGAATATAGAGATTTGAGGAGATGTCATCCGGACTCAATAGCATGATACGAATAGGACAAGAGCTTTTAATGAGTGAACTGGAAGTCACTATCAGCGGCATTGTATTAAGAGGCTAAACGGCGTGCACAGCAAATAGTTCTCAGACATTTCGTACAGCTTGGTGAATATGTTGAAATGCGCGCACTGTTACTTTAAAACAGCGCGACGAATATGCTGCCTCTTATCTTTGAATCTTCAAGCTCCTCCAGGAACGCAGTAACTGTTACATACACCTGACACATACTAGCTTAATCAGTTTCCAGTGCCGACACGGTAAGTTCAAGCCAGTAGGCCAGTCTCTCCTCCAATTGCTCTTCTCTCGCGATTTGTAGAATTTTCTCCGCATTACCGCCACCCTGATCGTAGATTCGTAGATAGTCTTGAACTGCGCTTCCTTCAAGTGAACCATCGCGTTGTAAGCGACGGGTGATCTCACTTTCGAGAGTTGCAGGAAAGTACTCGAACACAGAGTCCACCACTTCATGTATAATAGCCATGACTACGGGGTGAGTAATTCGTTGTGGTTCCACGGCTCCTTCATCTGCTTCAAGAGCAATATTGGTAGTATTCAGGCGCTCTTCTTTGGCAATGGATAGCGTGTCAATGTCGACCGGCATTTGTTTCATAGGATGAGAGTTCCCGGAGCCTTGCGATATAGGCACTAACGGAGCATTTCCGCAAGCAGACTCCATTTCATCCATTTCATCCTGAAGCAGAACTCTGATATGCCCAAAGACTCTGGCTTTGAATCTCAAGCGTTCCAAGCTTAAGGCTTCCATATCGTCTTTTTCGCCGTTTCCTCGATAAACCTTTTCCTCTTCCAGGCCCAAATCCTGCCACTCCAATATCAGCTGTGCGTCTATGCTATTGAAATCTGCCTCCCTCTTCTCACTCTCAAGAAGTCTTTTGCCTTCACGATAGAGCTCAAAAGAGTCTCTCGGCGAATTTGACCACGTTACCATAGCATGGCGCAAGAGAAATAGAATTCTCATCACATGTGACAGCAAATTCTCTTGCAATGCATCCTTAGATGTAGGAAACCCCGGCGAGGAAGTATTGTTGAAATTCCGAAGCTTTCCGCCTTTGTTTCGTTTTTCATTTTTTGCAGTGGAATCAGAATCGATAAGAAGTTCTTCAAATGCGAAAGATTGTTGTTTGCTTAAGATAGTAGCATGGCGCGTGAAAGCGCCGAAGTCAACCAAAAGTAAGACTTTTAGTAATCTCGACCGTTGCTCCTTCCAATTATCAAGCCAAATCGCGCGATATACCTGCTCCGCATCTGGAGTGCGTATCCCCTCGGGTGATCTGAAATCTTCGATGGCTCGAAGAAGAGATTTTGGGTCCGTAGGGTCAATGTCAGGCAGTGCCACTTCAATATCATCCGCCTCAAGGTCGTCATTCAAATGTGACTCACGAGCCGACTTCGCATCGATTGAATCACCATCAATACTGCCAGCACTCCATGGAAGACACCTCAATGCGAATTCATGTAGATGTTGTGTGATATGCTCATCAAACGTGGATTGAGGGTTTTCTGTCACGTATCCACAAAGGGGGCAGCCCAGTGGTTTGAGGATCTTGCGGTGGCTCAACCTCGCAAGCGATGAAAGCTGAGGTAATTTGAACGTAGCAGTGTGCTCTATCTTCATGTGGGCCTCCCAATC